CCCCCCCACATCGCGCGCGCAGCCAGCTAGGTTCATCGGGTTTACTCTGACACCGCTGACTCTAAAGCCACGCCCCTTGGCAGCCACGCTCCCCGCCCCGAACCAATCAGAGGCGGATCACGTCGGGCTGTAGCTCCGCCTCTCCCGTGATTGGCTGCGGCCCGCTACACCTTTAGCCGTGATTGGCTGCGTGTTACCACCCGCCAGACTGCTCTGAATTTTGTTTCTGTGTTGTTTTTTTTTTTTTTTTTTTTTCTTCCTCCTCGGCTGCTCTCAGCTGAAGCTCGGTTCTGTTGGCAGAAGCTCGGCGCTCTTCCTCCTCTGCTCTCCTCCGCCTCACTTTCAGCTGCTCTTCCGCCTCCATGCTCGGCTTCGCGGCGGAGCGCCCCTGGCAGGTGAGTCCCCCCCCTCCAGCTACCGACGTTCCGCCGGGCCGAGCTGTGGAGAAAGTTACCGGTTCGTGTTGGAACTTTTACCCGGCTGAGGCCGACTGTGCCTCGGCTTCACCTCCGGAGCTGAGGGCTCGCCGCGGCTGCAGGAGAACGGCTCCGATTCGGGTTTATTTCCGCGCTGTCAGCCGGTTTATCTGAGGTCACAGTGAACCCGGTGACTCCGGTGCGCGCGCACGTGTGTTTGTGTGGAGCTGCAGCCCGCGCGCATGCGCGTCACTGTGTTTGTGCGCTCGGTCTCTGCGTCGCTGCATCTTAAAGTTTGCAGATGTTTTTGTGAAAAAAAAAAAAAAACACCTTTTTTTGTTTAGTTGTTCCTGAGCGGAGCCTCGTTCTGGGTTCAGATTATTAAACCCGGAACACCAGGAGTTAAAAAAAACACGAGTTCACGAAGAAATTGTGTGTTTTGTTGGAAAAAATCTGAATATTCTGACATTTAATTCTAATCCCTGCTAGTTTTCTTTGTTGTGTAGAGAAACTAAGTGGTTCAGCTCAGTCTGCCTGCTGGTTAGAAAATAATAAATAATAATCATCAGATAATAACAACCAGATAAACTAAAACAAACCAGAGTTCGTGATAAATGAGTTGATTGTGTTTATTTTAGCTTGATTTAATGTCTTAATCAGGTTAAATTTGAGTAAAGTCCACATCAGTGATAAATCTAACAACGAGCAAATCAGATTTTAATTTTTAACCAGTTTAAATGAACTAAACTGTTTATATTTAAAGATTTTTCTGTTTTTATTTTAGTGTTTTTATGATTTTCCTTCAACCTGATGATCAGGTTCGGTGAAAACAAAGAGATGGGAACATGGAGCTCATTTGGGTTGAAAAACAAGAACCAAACAAAGCCAGGAATAAAAAAAAACAGCTGATGTGATCATATTCATAATAAATAAATTGTTTATTTTGTGTTGGATGTTTTTTGTGGTGGTGTGTTCGAGTGTCGGTGGGAAATGGGAGCGCTGGTGTGTTTGCTGCAGATTGTTTTGTTTCACTT